CCCCTAAAGTTGGCGTTATTAGTTGTCAGTTAGGTTATGACTAAGTTCTTTGACCCTCCCTCAAATTAATTTTCCAATTTTGTATTGTCTAGGATAATTTTTAATTAATAATAAATGAATAACATTGTTTAAACAATCATATAATGAGCAGTACTGAACATTTTCATCTTAATCAAAGCAATCGTTGTTGAGTTCAAGTTCAAATTTAAATAACAAAATTCAATTGTTTGTTAAAAGTGTTTTGTGACTATAATTTTAACTTGATTTTAAAGTATTATATGAAATACACATTCCTTGAAAGTGCTAAAGGTAAATAACAATGTTCAAATCCTTCAAATCGTTTCAACTGTGCACATGTGTTACGAATTACACATATTACACATGTTTCATTACATCCATTTATCTTGATTTCCATAAGAAATCAATCACTAATATTTTGAATTATCATTTTAGATGGAACAAATTATCCAACAAAAACTGATTCAAACAGCAAAAGTGGTGGAGCAGCAAATTGAGTCAGAAATTGAACGCTTGGATAACTTGGACCTTGATGATATAGAAAAGTTACGGGAACAACGTTTGAAGGAATTAAAAAGACAGAGTCAACAAAAGCAACAATGGCTATCTATGGTAATAATATAGTGAAATAGTGTAACATAAAAATATTAAGGGTTTTTGTTTTCATAGGGTCATGGGGAATATTCAGAACTTGCTGATGAAAAAGAATTCTTTGAGGTCACTAAAAAGAGCAAAGATATTGTATGCCATTTCTATAGAGATTCTACAGATCGTTGCAAAATTGTTGATATGCATCTGAAAAATATAGCTAAAAAGCATATTGAAGCTAAATTTTGTAAGATAAATGTGGAAAGGTGCCCATTTTTAACAGGTAACATGTCTTTATAAACAAAACTTGTTAAAAAGATTTGAAAGTCTAATTATGAGAATGAAATTAATATAAATGATAAATAACTTTGTATAAAACTGTTCAGCAAACTGCATCATTTCTATTCCGGTTTAATATTTTGAATGAATAATTTTATTCTATGTTTTCATATTACTAATTTGTATTTTCCATCAGAGCGACTGCGTATCAAGGTTATACCAACCATAGCACTCATCAAAGACAGCGTCACAAAAGATTATATTAGAGGTTTCACAGATCTCGGAAACTGTGATGATTTCTCAACTGAAATGTTAGAATGGAGAATTGCACATTCCCATGTAATCAATTATAATGGTGATTTATTAACACCTCCTGATGAAAAACACAGAAAAAATAAACTGACAATAGAGAAGAAGAGAACTATTCGAGGAAATGATGCCTCTGATGATTCAGATATTGATTTTAATGATTAAAGCACAAAATTGAGATTATGATAATTTGAAGTTGTGATGGAAGAGCTTGCATATAAATTTTAGATAAAAATAAATTATTGTTTGAAAGATTAAAAATTGAAATGGGTATCACATATGCTAAAATGCAATTAATTCATTAACATAAGTAAACAACTGAAATACAGCACTTAAAGTAATACTGACTTATATTTTTTTTACAATTTAATTTTTGCAAAATCTTAATATCATTACTCCTATATTGAACTGAGTCAAAAATTAAAACAAATATTACAAAATTTGATGAAATAGCAAAGAAATGAATTAAAATTTTAAATTAGAATTTGTTTTGTGAGTTCTGTAATGTAGTCTGGCAAAAAAATCTTCTCACAACCAATTTTATTTGAAAAAATCAAAATGGCTATTATTAAAATTTTAAATCTTTGGCTTTGAAAGAAGTTTTGTTTTTCAGATTATGTTCAATTTGCAAGTCTGTAGTGTGGAAAAATCACAGAAAGCATTAAGTTAATAAATAATTCAGTTTACCACAATGGTTTAAACATATGCAACCACAAAGATTTATGAACAAGTAAGGCTCGAAACTGTATTACAATATTACTAAAATATATTATTAAATAGAAAATGAATAATGAAACATATAATAATTACTATAACTTCATCAACAAGTTTTTGTACAATTCAGGCTTAAATATATTTGAACACAACATCCTTTTTATCACTAACAGTTTGTAACTCTAAAGTAACAGGACACTGAAGCCAATACGCTAACAACTCTTCTGAAAATCCAATCAGAAAATACATTTTCCTAGCATTGATCTTTTGTTGCATTATCGCAGCAATTCTTATATGATTATGTTGTCGTTTTATAATAACTTCAGATGCTAGAAGATTATGCCAAGTGCCTTCCATAAACTTTCTTATAAACATATCCTCAACTGCAGTTTCTGCAGGTCGCAAACCGTCTTCTAAATTTGATGTGTTCCAGGAGTTCCATGATTTTCTATGAGCTATAAAGTGTGGTGGATTTGCCATTTCGTAGGTAAGAGGCTTATCTTTCTTTAGAGATATTTTATATCGACCAGACTGCACTTTATTGACAACTGGGGTAGTTGAAATCGTGCGAAGGATACTGTTAGGTGCATTTAATAGCTGTTTGTTTGAAACGGTCCTGTGGTACAGCTTGAAAAAGAATTGTTTCATTTCAAAAAAATGACTCTTGCCATTGAGGTTAGAAATCGAATATGAAAATTAACTTACCCGCAACATAATAAATTATGGATTAAAAGTATGTTGTTGATTTAGAAAAGATTCTTCTTTAACTAATCTGTTTATTCTTATATAATTATATTTATGCACACAATTATATGTAGCCTCACATTATATTATAGGTTATTCAAATCGCCATTTTTGAATTTTGACAATCACAGAATTTTATTGTTGTCGGACAGATGTCGGCAGTTTAAGATTGAAATACACTGTTATGCCGTGATAATTTATTTTCGATGCAAAATAAAAAAAAATGAAATAATTTTTTGTTCCAAAAGCAATTGTTTTGTTTAACACAAGCAGAAAGTTTTTAGAATCATTCAATTCGGATGCTTATTTCTCTCAAAAAACCGCCATTTTTTGTATATTTGGCTCTGGATTTTCGAACTGGCTAGACCTGCCTTTACCAAAAACTAATAACCACTTCTCCCAATCATTACTAATTGAATGTTTTTTAGATCATTCAAATCGGATGCTCCATTCTCTCAAAACTCGATTTATATTTTCTGCACTCTTTGCTCTTCATCTCCGTAACGGATGGACCTGCCTTTGGCCGAAACTCATCAGCACATCTCCTTATCAATATGAATCAAATGTTTTTTGAATTATTCAAATCGGTTGATCCGTGCGCCCGAAAACGTCGACGAAAAAATGTATCCATACATACATACATACACACACATCCATTTTTTCTGAGGTATGCCAAAAGTGCTAGGCCTGCCTTTGCCAAAAACTAATAACCACATCTCTCAATCATTACTAATTGAATGTTTGTTAGATCATTCAAATCGGATGCTCCGATCTCTCAAAAACTCAATTTCTATTTTCTGCAATCTTTGCTCCATATCTCCGAAACGGCTGAACCTGCCTTTGCCAAAAACTAATCAGCACATCTCCCTATCAATAGGAATCAAATGTTTTTTGAATTATTCAAATCGGTTGATCCGTGTTTCTAAAATCGTTGACGAAAATTTGTATCCGCGCACACACACACACACACACACACACACACACATATCCATTTTTTCTAAGTTATGCCAAAATATTCAGAAACCTTTGAAACATAAAGATATGCAAAAATTACCCTTACCCATGCCTTACCCTACGGGAAGTTAATTATTAATTAGTTGCGTACACCCTACCATATGTAGGTTTTGAGACAACTTTTAAATGTCAATATACAAGTATTTACAGCTGGGTATCTAGAATTCCGAGGTGAATTACTATAATGACTGGACTATTATTTAATGAGCGCATTAGAAGGCCCTGTACTGAAAATTTTGAATACAATACTACCTACTCTCAATAATTATTCAATTTTATGGGATGCACTAATAAACAAATTCCAAAACAATCCTTATCTGGGCATTAACTATTTCAAACAGTTAATGTCCTTCAAAACTGCAAACTCGTCGCAGACTTATAAGTTATATAAAGATATTTTAATTATAAAATAGATATTACATTAATGAAATAGTCAAATGAAATGTATATATAAAATATAAAAACTGTTTTACATAATCTCTCATACCAGCCACCTTCTGTCTCACTGAGATACGAAAATAATGTATATATAAATAAATAAATAATTAAAAACAAAAATAAAAAAAAGACTTCAGCACTGGCAGATACACTCTTGGGCGGCATATTTAGGAAATGTTACGATTATGTAAGAAACTTAGAAATATAGTGACTTACCTTGATGTCCGGTAAATGCAATTGTATATACTTGGAAATTAGTACTTTGTTCCTGAATCGGCAACTTGTAGAAACTCTCAATCTTAATTGAGATCCAAAATTTGGTGCGGTCTTGATTAAATAAACACATCCCACGGAATCGCTGGTTATTTGAAAACTAGAAACGTTCTTATTCTCTGGTAATAACAAACTAAAAAATAACCTCACTTTAAATAATAAAAGGACACTGAACAAAACTTATAAACTCGACCGACAAGGAAGGACACTCGACTCGACACTGAACCAAAAAAGGAAAGCAAGCTGAAAGCGTACTGATAACGCACTGAAAGCAAACTAAAAATGCACTGAACCCGAAAACTTGGATAGCGAACTGAATCGAACTGAATAGAACCCGAACAGGATAAAACCCGAACTGAATCGAACCGAAGACGAAACCATTCTTTCTTTCTTTCTTTCGTCCTTTTTGGAAGGAAAGAGACAGCAAATTTCTAGAATGCAACAATTCGGTTGACATAATGCAAACCTGAGATGGCGACTATATTATTATTATTATCGACACATGTAAATATTAATTGTGGCGTCATACATAAGTAAACATGGCATCACCAGTTATACAGTTTGAAAAACTACATAATTTATTTTTTCTGGAATCGCGGGATCGAACCGACGACTCTCGAATAGTCTAAACCTCGTTCTTGCGACCTCGGCCAATTCGACCACAGGCTTACAATATTTTTAGGAAACTTATATGATATTCATTTAAAATAGACTTTATATTTTTAACTTCCCGAAGGAGAAGTTTATGTTTTGATTAAAAAATCCGATTCGCTAATTTTATGTTTTCTCGACCTTTCAAGCGATTCTGAATCGAATGAGACCGAATTTGGAAAGTGTGTGTGTGTGTGTGTATATGTGTGCGTGTATGTGAACAGATTTTTTGCCGTAAATCGACGTTCTCTCAAACACGTGCTCTTTGCACCAAAATTTTTGACATTTGCGCAAACCAAAGATGGATGCCTCCATAAACGACGTGAAGTTTGACAGGATATAGAGAGCGCGAAATTCAAATTTTAAATATAAAATTACCAATTTTATTTACACACATGTATAAACACACAAAACATGTGTGTTTGTTTTACATATGTACATATTTTGTTATAGAATTTACAGGTAATTTAGTTTCTTATAACTTTGTGATAGACTTCACAATTAAAAATAATTACAAGCTCAATGTAAAAGACTTTATTAAAACAGGGAGATTTTATAATCTGTATACAATACTGATTACGATTGTTCCATTAATTTTACAAAACATCAATTCACGCTTTCATCAACAATTTAACTTCAACTTTAGGAGCAGTTTCAACAGCAGCCAACAAGTCTTCTACATTACAGCAATATGTGTATCCTCTAGTTAAATCAGCAAAATAGGAATCTTCAAATCCAGCTTCTTTACAGATATCCTTGCAAAGTAGATCTTTATGGGGAACTTTCTCTGCATAAGGATTATTGAGAGTAACAAAAGCAATGCCTTCACCGGTTTTTGGCGATTGTACTATTTTCCAATTCCATTTGGGTACCCAAATGTTTCCGTCTTTGGCAATGGACATTTTTACTTCGTTGTTGTTGACATCAGGCAGAGTTAGGATATCATGGACACCTGAATAGATGGTCAAATCTTCACCTCTGGAAGATCCCAATTTTCTTGCTAGATTTTCTACACGTAACCAGTTTCCAGCATTCACGGCCTGGAAGAAAAAAGGTTTTAGTAGAAATATTTTTAGTTGAAACGAGATTTTTTAGAAAAAATGTAATTATATAATGGAATTACATTGTGAAACTCAAACATATCAAACTAACAAAACTATCTGACTATGTTCAGTAAAAGTCCCAGCTAATACATCATTATAGAAATGAGTTTTCTTGCTGTTTTTCAGAAATTTGTCACCTCGTCTTTTTTACCCCAAAGGCGGGATGAAATGGGACGATCAGGGGCCAAACATGTTCAATGTCTTATTTTTAATTTCAAAGGGATTTTACTAAATAATAGTTACATTATTCAACTAACGCAAAATAAAAATTTAATGAATACATTTTTACAGAGATAACACGGTATATAACCTTGATCTGGTATTTCGTCAAAAATATTCATCAGCAGATTTGGAATAACCAATTATTTTATTTATGTTTAACTTAATTTACTTGTTTATTTACTATTTTTTATTGCTTACACATTTGCCATTGTAAAGACTCAGTTGGTCTTTTTTGACCCAACTGCCTGCAAAACTTTTGTAGAAGTTACATAAAAAAACTGTTGGATCTAACTCAAAATTAACAATACATCTTATAAAACCAATTGAATAACGTATAATTAAAATTATATTAAGGTTTCGTAAACTAAACAATAGTGCTCACGACCAAAAAAAACTAATAACGAAAGAAAATACATTTATTATAGATTTTCAAACTTTTGTCATATATCTCCTGATAGCAACGTCGTAAAAATCAAGGTGATGGATATACTTTTTTTGCACACTACTTTCAAATATTGTTGTTAAAAAATCATAACTTTATATGTTTTTGAGATATTACCCTATTACTCAATAGTGTAAAAACAATTTCTTTAAAAATGTTATTAATAAGTAATTTATAATTAACTTCCCGAAGGAGAAGTTTATTATGTTTTCATCCAAAAATCCGATTCGCTAATTTCATTATTTTTCGACGTTTCAAGCCATTCTGAATCGAATGAGACCAAATTTGGAAAAAGTATGTATGTGACGTGAACAAATTTTTTGCCGTAGATCGACGTTATCTCAAAAACGGCTGGACCGATTTCAAAAATTTAAAAATTCGATGTATTTCGATGAGGACTACCGTTTGTCAGTTTTGCGTGACGGTCTGCCGAGCCGTTTCTCTGTAATTTGGAAAAAAAGTGTTAAACTTTTCGTCCACATTTAAACTCATACTACCGAATCGATTTTAACAAATCAAAAACTGTTCGAAAGATATTAGTTGGGAATAATACTGATTAGTTTTAGGTGAAAAAATCTACCGAGCCGTTTTTTTGTAATTAACTGTTGAGAAAAAAAATTAAGACGATGTTTATGGAACTTTTTTTTGGCGATATATATCATGGTTTTATAGAACTTACAGAAATATTACGGCCTTACGACAAGTAGTTTAATTTTAAAAATTCATCAAAGTTTGAGAAAACGAGTAGGTTTTTTGACATTTGTTAAAATTCAAATTAGACGATTAACTTGGTATAACGATAAAGTACTTGGTCTTAATGAACATACTAAACCATTAATCCTACGGAAACTGGTTTAATTTTAAAAATCATTGATTTTTGAAAATTCGCTTTTAGAAAATACTCCGAGTTAACGTGTTCGTTCGTTTTCAATTATGTGTAATAAACCCACTCGAAATACTCTTAATAACTCATAAATTAGTTTGTTTATTGATTAAGTCGATTATTTACACATTTTGGGAAGTTCATGTAACTTGCCTCAAGGCAAAATACCAATACCAACTAGTTAAGATATCTGTGGTGGATCTTTAAGTTCCGTTCTACCCTATTCGTCAATATAGTGTAAAAAACAAAAACAAAACAACAAACTCTTTATTATTTTATGGATTTACCTGCCATTGTGGGCAAACATTGACATAGAAGTAGGTGGCATATTGCCAAATGGCGAATGTAAAATCTGCATCGGGAGACATGTGTCCTCTCGCTAAAAAGGCGTTGGCGCCCTCGAAATATTTCTCTGCCAGTTGCGATGATCCCAGCAATTCGGCAAATATTTCCTTCTGGGTTTCCTGCTTGTAGGCCTCGGCCGGGGACACGTGCTTCGGGGTGCCGGTGGATTTAAAACTGGGTCGGTAGGATTCCTTTTCGCTATCTGAGATAATAGTAATAATAAATAGATGATAATAAACAAGAATAACAAATAGGAATAATAGATATATAGATATATAGATATTAGTAAATTTACTCGAAAGAAAAGGCGCAGAGTTCTTTTTTATATTTAATCTAGTTTTTTAAATTGCTCGTCAGCGAAGTGCTTTTCTTATCTTCCAAATCTCTTCATAAACTCCATTATTATTTGCTTTTATTTTATATTAAATTATCATACTACTTTAATGAAAATACTATCCTTTATTTTGTACTCTTTTTTATTTAAATTTATGTTATTGTTCATCATTGTTGAAAGATGATTAATTATCATTAATTAATTATTTAACAGTTGTAATAAATATTGTAATTAAAAAAAGTTCACTTTTTATTATCGAGATCTATATTCAGTTTGCTCTTCAGTAGAGTCCTTTTCCAATACTAATCTGAACTAGTGGTGTATAACATCGTGCCTTAAGGCAAATTGCTGAAACTCCCGTACCGTAATGAAATATTCGAGAAATTTTAAACGTTTTCAAATATATTATTACAAATACTGCAACTTTCATTATTTTTGCTATCTTGTTGTATCTGAGCAAATCAAATGTAAATCATAAATCAATTTATCTCCAGAACATTAACAACAATCGTGATTTCATTTCGAATTCAATTTCAAAAAAATAGTTGCCTAATTTACACAAAATTGAAAAAGTGCTCCCGTATAGCCCCAGTCTAAACGCATTTGCAAACAATTTTGTGCGACATTTTCACTTGTACTGTGCATAGCTTGGCAGCATTTTCACATTTTTCAATAGTTTTCACAAAAAGGCACTTGGGTGAACATTTGTACCAGAGTGGCGCTTAGACTGTGCTTAACCTGAGTAATTTTTTTGAATTTTTAATCCAAAATTACAAAAATATTTTATGGAAAATAAAAAAAGATGTAATAATTTTTTATCCTCAAAACAATTGTTTTGTCAATACAAGCAGAAAGTCTTTTAGTACATTCAAATCGGACGCTTAGTTCACTCAAAAACTGCCATTTTTTTGCACATTTAGCGCTGTATCTTCGAAATGGCGGGACCTGTCTCTGCCAAAAACTAATCACCTCTTCTCCCAATCATTACAAATTTAATGTTTTTTTAGATCATTACATCCGATACTCCGTTCTCTCAAAAACTCAATTTGTATTTTCAGCACTCTTTGCTCCGTATCTCCGAAATGGCTGGACTTGCCTTTGCCAAAACTAATTAGCACATCTCTCTATCAATAGGAATCGAATGTTTTTTAAACCATTCAAATCGGCTGATCCGTGCGAAAAACTTTTAATTTATTATATTATCATATATCTTTCATCAGTTTTATCCGTTGATTATAAATGCGTGTCGCTAATATTTTCCACTTACCAATTACCACTGACATCTAATATAATGTTTGATAGAATGTATCGAGGTATAATTGCTTCAATTGCAAATTCCCTTTACCTTTACCGTTGTGATGAATGGTGAGAGATAATTGATTGGCAGAGGCAGAGGCATAGTCAGAGTCAGTTTCATCATACGAGACGAGAAAATTTAATAGAGGAGATAATTAGATCGGTTTCAACGACAATTAAATTTCCGCAATTATATATAGTTAGTTAATTAATGTTCAGGATACCTAACTATAACTACCTACCAAATGCTCATAATGAATGGAGATATTGAGGAAGTCGACGATGTCAAATCCGTTGACTAATTTCGTAATTAACCTAAGTTAAGTGGTTACTTAACCTAAGTTAAGTGGTTAACCAGTGTCATTCGAATAGAGCTCGTGAAGAGTATATTCGTCAATCATATACTAATGGAGCAATTCTGCCATAACAGAGCTCATAAAAGAGCGTTGTCATGGCAACGCTCTCTTATGCTTGTTGCTTGTTAGTGAAACTGTAAAATTGTCTAATTAATTGTTGTGTGATCAGGTGTTTTTACATATTAACAAGCAAGTAAAAATCTTATGATAATTGCACCATCTAAAAATAATTGTCATAACTATATATATCAGAAAATAGAACATTTTCATAATTTTCAATACCAAAAACAAGGATAAGAGAGATTTTTGAAAATCCATATCAAAAGTATTTTTTTCGTTGTTAGTTTTTTTTACACATTTTTACGTTTCAAAGGTTTCTGAACATTTTGGCATACGTTAGAAAAAAATTGATATATGTGCGTGTG